AAGAATGCCAAAAGGAATTAGGATTTCTTACCTTGCAACAAGAAGCACTAGCAAAAGAGAAGAGCCAGCGAACCCAACAACCAAAACTAGCAATCTATGTAGCAATAGGTTCACTGAGGATGACCTAGGAACGAAGGCACAGAAATGGCCAGCCGACACACAGGGAGCACAAATCCAATCATAAAATAGAAAGAAGAAGGCACCAGCAAAGCCAATAGAGACCTCCCCAGAACAAAAACCAACCAGCAGAAGCTTAGAGAAGAAACTAGAACTAAAAGAAGCAGCCAACGCCAAACAATCTAAAGTTCACCTCAAATTAACTCAATAACTTTGCAAATCAAATACTCATAACAAATTGAGGCTTCTTACACAACAATACAACAAAAATGGCACTAAACATCGAAATTCGGCACTATTCACAGCATGAACAGTAATTTCGGCACCGTTCACAGCATGAACAGTAACTTCAGTAATGTTCACGACTTGTGAACAGTACTAGGCACTGTTCACTGAGTGAACAGAAACATTGGTATTGTTCACAGCTCTGATACCACATTGACTTTGATCAATCATAGAAAAATAAGAGAAAGAAGAACAAAATATGATTGAGGCACAATAATCCAGAACAACCTTAAAGAAAAACTATTATATAAGAGGTCTTTATATAATAGGGTGAAAAGAAAACAAACAGACTAAGCTAGAGTAACATAAAAAGAAAACAAATGACTAAATTAACCCTGAGTCCAAATATACTAACTACTCTAACAATAATATCTGCAAAACAGGGGCATATGACATGATCAATTCGGTTCTCATATTGTTTGGGTTTATTGTCTAACAATATGAATGGCAAAGAACCTTAGATGATAGCAAAACATCGTGAAGAAAAAAGTCTCAAAGAATACGGTTCTCTGCAAAAAAGAAGACATAGTGCACTGTCAAAGAACCACTACCATTAACTTCAGAAAAAAGAACCACTACCATTGCTAGATAAATATTTTGTGGCTAAATTTCCATTTTTTTCTTGCCACGGCAGGGACAACTTATACTCAACAATCATACAAAGTTAGTGATGTATTTCCTTTCAAATGGATCAATAAAAAGTGGAAAGAAGGCTTCTCTGTTACCTCCATGACCGCTGCAGGCAACAGATGGGGGATTGTCATGTCTCGAGATGCAGGTTATTCAAATCAGGTATTATACTCTTGAATTTTTGTCCTATTTCAAGTTAGATAATGTACTGTATGAAGTACTTATATTCGCTCTTTATTTACAGGTTGTTGAACTTGACTTTCTGTATCCCAGTGAAGGGATTCACAGAAGATGGGAGAATGGATATCGAATTACGTCCACTGCTGCAACAGGAGATCAAGCTGCATTCATACTAAGCACGTCCAAGAGGAGATTGCAAGATGTGACACAAGAAACTTTACGGACATCAGCTTTCCCAAGTACTCATGTGAAGGTACGACTACTACTACGTATAGCATATAATTTTCACAATTACAAGTCATATGATAATGTTGATGAGTTGTTTTATCTCATACCAGGTAGTAACAGTTGCTTTATTTTTTCTGGCAGGATAAATGGTCAAAGAATTTGTATATTGCATCAATCTGCTATGGGAGAACAGTTTCTTGAAGTCTGGGATTTGAGAGAATAAAAATTATGGTACGTGTCCCTGGCTAGCACATGCGATGTTTAGTGAATCTTCATGTTACGTATCTAAAGGGAATCAATTTCCAAATAATTAATGAGTTAGTTTAACGCCATCTTAACTTATTTTCTTCTTTGCTTGATGTAATTATTTTGTTCTATGAAACAGTTGGTGCGGTTATTGTTTCCTATACTTTTTATTCCCTATGACGTATTTTGACTATGCATTTACCTGCCATGTGCTCTTATTAGAAAATTGATCTAGAAATCTGTAATCGATCTTGATTCATGTATTGGATTTTTTGGATCGCTTAGCATCTGGCTTTTTTTGATTTGAATACTAAATTGTCGGAGTAATTGCTGGAAATTTGAAGTTGTTTGGATTTTGTTTTTACCCTTGAGCTTGTCGCTCATTGCTTGCTGATGAATAGTTACTTACCAAAAAATTTGAAAACAAAGTTTTTTTTTTTTTGGTAGTTTATGTACAGGCTAGCACAGGTACAAACAGAGGGAGCCTGTTGCTGAACTTCCAGAGAACATGCAAAGAACTGGAACCCTGATGGAAAAGGATGTAGAGATCAGAACGTACTTGGAGTCTGGAGAATGTTTTGTCAGAGCAAGTCCAAAACTCATCATGTTTGTAGAGTTTCCAAAAGACGATATATCTGCTCAGATTTTTTCTTTTCTGGTATAGTTTTATCTCTGATGAATGACACCATGGAGGCTCTTGAAGTTTTAAACCTTTTTCTTTTGTCCAATTACTTGCATATCAAAGTGGGTGCTACAAGGAATCACCCCCAAGATAAATGGTACATTGTCACTGTAGCTGTGAAAGAATTGTACCATACTCAGTTGTTGTCCCCTTTTATATGAGATTGGTATAAAGAGGAGTTGGATAATTGGTTGAGACTTTCATAGGTTCCATTTATATCAATGGTATTTTCCAGATTAGATCTCCGGATAAGATTAAAAAAAGTATTTCAGTTCCGGAGAGTTCAGATAATGGAGTATGATGCAGGTGGTTGTGAAGTTGACTTCAAATATTGCTGAATTTTTTTAATTATACTTATGTTCTTGCATTAATTCAACTATGACGTTTGAACATTTATTATGGCTTGGCAAAAAGAGTTGATATCCATTTCTTGTTTAATTGGACAATGACATACTCAAAACTTTTTTTCCTTTTCTTATTTACTAGAAATGTAACATGTATTTCAAGTAAACAAATTTAAATGATATTATTTTTATAAAAAATATAAATTATATGTGTAATTAAATTAAAAAATAAATTAGGTGCTAAATAATTAGTTCATATTTTAACTATTGATTTATTCTATAAGTGTTTGAGTATTCATTTGTCATTTATTTGAGTTTCTCATGACATTTTTAAATATTTGTACATCTAATTATGTATTATAAAATTATTAATTTTTATTTTGTTAAATAGACTAATTAAATCACTTCTAATATTATTATGTTATTTGCATACCAAAAAATAATATAGTATATATTTAATCGTATAGGACTTTATTTTTTTGTATGTATATAAATAATTATATATAATTGTACTAATAATAAATGAGCTCAAAAAAATTTTTAAATTTGTTTTTAAAAAGAGTCAAAAAAAGTTAAAAGTTAAATTAGATGTAAAAAATAGAAATTAGATGAAAGTTTATAGGTGGGTATAATTGACTTTATTATAATAATTAGAGAGAAAATAAGAAATTAAATTTTTTTTTGTAGATACTGATATTTATAAATAGTATAGATATAGATATAGATAAATCGGAGAATTCCAAGGCAACAGAATAATATGTTATTCTGATTATTGTAAGTTTATTACCTTGTGTTCATGATTTGTAACTTTGATATGTCACAATCAAAATCTATTATTTGGCTAGAAACATAACACGGTAACATCGAGTATTTTGGTCAAAATTGTGTGCTGAAAACGAATTTAAAAATTGTTTAATCTTGTGTTGTTAAACTGATGGATAAACAATATTAAACTATTACATTTGTTTAAACTTCATATAATATACTAAAAAACATCATTTTGCTTCAAAATAAGTATAACTTAATTTATGGCATTCAATATTATTATTATTCATTATTTTTCATAAAAATATTTATCCAAACTAATTTTACCTAATGTTAAAAAAAAAAAATTAATTATACCGACACATCCAAACTTTGTACGAGATTGGATTATATTGTATTGCAAAGGGGGTAATAGTCATTTCTCTTAGATAATGTTAATTGACATGTGCATTGGGTATTGGGTTGGACATGTGCATTGGGCTCACGGTTCCCACTTTTTCTAGTCGAAATTAAATATTGAATTAGATAATCTACCTTAGGCTCCATTACTTTTAATAGAGTTGGATGAGATTAGATTTAATATTCAATTCAACTCAATCCTCCCATGACAAGTGGAACACGCTACACCCTAAAAGTTATTATGTAATTTTTGGATGTATCTGAGGTCGATCCTAAAAAATTTATGGTTGACCCCTAAAAAAGGGTTACTTGACTCTAGTTTTTTTTATTTTTTTTGATAAGATCGATCTCAAAATTTGGAGGTGAATATTAATTTTTTGGTTATAACTTGACTCTAAAAAATTTTATTTTGAGACACAAAAGTTGTAAGCTTTGATATAGTATCCCATATCAGAGTAAAATCCTTTTTTTATACTATATTTTGTTTCATTCAATTAAAATATAATATATATATATATATAGAATAATTATTTTAATTCATTGTATTTATGATCAATAGTGACAAATAAATTAAAATAAGATTAGAGATTGTTTTTGACATGATACCAATTTTTTTTTTTTTTGACTATCATTGGCTTATTCGCATTTAATGCTGTCGATTTGTATTGTCCGAAAAGAGATATATCAATTTGGATTCATTTGTAAAAGAAAATAAAAAATGGACGCTTTATAATTGAAGCAAAGTGTCTCAATAATGAATTGCTGTCAAGTTGCAAAGGAGGTAAGCAATGGAGGGTCCAGACTGAGTTTCAAATTGGGGCAGCCTAGTGATAATGCAAACCATAAAAAAATGAGTTCATATGGCATTATTTGGATGCAGACAACAATTATTTGAAAAGAGGGAGAGATAGAGAGACCCATAGCCTGTCACAAAATATCAAAGAAGCCCATTACACAAAAGGGGAAAGCCTATGGTACCGCATTCAGTATTATATCGTTATTTATTATTTTTTTTTGTAAAATTATAACTCAAAAGAGAGAAGTAACAATTGTTTAAAGGAAATTTATGATCGATCAAGAGGACCATGATCGATGATTGATTATGACTTTTCCTGAACAATTGTAACTTATTATTTTGAGTTGTAACTGATCTTTAAAGTTGTAATTTTGTTATCAATCTCAATCTGTCATGATCGATTATGACTTTTAAAAATTGTAACTTATACATAAAAAAAAAAAAAAAACTTAACCTTAAATAATTGTAAATTTCAATAGAGTAACTCATTCGGTATCTTAGTCTTTCTCTACATTAAGAGTCCTGGATATTTTGCAAGATATTGGGAGAAAGTCAAATCAATCTCCGGGGTTGAGAAAAGTTTTTATGACTATCACAAAAAAGTGTATTTAGAGGAATTTTTTTTTCTGAGAATATTACTATCATAAAAAATTAATTTGTTTTTATAAATATTATTTAACACAGGATGTTATTGTCACAAAGATTTTTTAAAATTTCATTTATTACGACAAGGTGTTATAATGTTTGTTTACTACTGTAAATATTATTTGAGACGACAGTTGCCACCACAAAAACTTTTTGTGACAATAAACATTATTACAACAAAAAACTTGTTTCAAAAAACCCTAATTATTGTAGTAAGTCTTATGTGTGTCTTATACTTATATTGGAAAACACTATATAACACAAAAGGATTGAAACTCGGTGGCGTTACTAGTTAGGGCCGATTAGGTTGATTCGCTAATCAAATTAAGTTGATTCGAGAGTGTAAAAAAAGAAAATTTTTGGAGCATTAAAAAAAGGAAGGTTTTGGGTGTTAAAAAAGGAAATTTTTGGGCCAAAAAAAAGAGAATTCTTAAGGCAATTTTGTCCATTGAATTAGACAAAAATTTTGTATAAATTTGAAACGTCATTAGTTCAAGATAAGTTTTAAAATTTAAACTATATTGTACTAAATCATACAGATTGGCTACAAGACTCGTAGCTTCCTCAGTCCTCATCATCCCAAATCCCTGATCTATTTAATTTGTCTATTACCATTCGGGAGAAGTGGAACGAGATGAGAGGAACAATTGCATAAGCTATATGAGAGAAAGAGAATGGCTAATTACTTGGGCGAGGAATAAATTGGTTTCATTGATAAAAAAGATTTTAGATATATAAGAGGGAAAAACGTAAGTGGACAAATAAATTGCTTCAAATAAGTCACTTTGAGACATAATTTCTTATTCAAATCTAATTGATTATGGACAAATAAATATACCACGTTAATCTCTTCATGGAAGAGAATGTGTTTAAACTTGATCCCACTAATTACGTGGTGTGGATCCCACTTTTATTTAAGCCTCAAATTGTTCAAATAAACTTGTTTAAAACTATTTTTTCCAACAAACTTTATACTTGCAATTGCATGTTTGATATAGACAATCAAATCTATTTGTGGATCCATCATTTGTAATAGGATTCCTTAGAGTTTTTTTTTTTTTCGTGATTCTCTTCCCTCGGCGAGACTTCAACATTAAAAGAAGAAATCGTAAAGTGCTTTAATGTTTTCCTATCAGTTCGTTTTTTTCCCTCTTTCTCACACTTTTTTCCACCCACAGAAAAAAGAAATATTTCAATCTCTTTATATAACATATACATTCTACTGGATGACAATTTTTCGATACACGTCCTTGCATTATTATTAGCCGTAGCAGTCTTTGAAAACATATAATCTATGATTGATGTAATGAAATTAAAAATGAAATAAAACCTAGTTTTTCGCCATG